CTGTAAATGTATTTGTTAGCAAAGAATATTGAGTGTATTTTAGTATATGTTAAGCAAGTAACATGCAAATGTAAAAAATCTCAGTGTACGCAAAAATGTTGTGCCTGTTTGCCATTTGATTGAGTTGCCTTTGACTCCAGTTCATTGTCATTTAAGGTAAAGCGACTGATAATGTTCAGGCTAGTTCCCATCAGCATCAGTGTAACGTGATAAATCATAATTGTGCATTATCAGAGGGTAAGACTATTCAACAGTCCTTAACAGTGCTTGCAGAAAACATTTAGATAATACACTTAAATAATATGAGTTTCAAAAGCAAACGTACAGATGACCTGCAAGTTCTTATACGGAGAGGAGAGTTATTTAATGCTGTTGACTTTACTGATTCATGCGGATTTTCCCATAAGAGCTTCTAGTAAAGTGCAATCATCTTCAGGGCTGTTCAGGTTGCCAAAATAAATGGAAACGAATGAGGTTCTCCATTACCAACCCAGATGTCTGCGATGCCGGTCCTTTCTGCAACCAGCATGCAGGCAGTTTCCTTTGCAGGAGGCGGTGTGCAAAGTTCCAGGCACATGGGACCAAGCCAGTATGCGTCAGGCGCGATAGAAGACATGGAACGTTTCTGTGAATATGAAGAAACCAGCCTATGTCCTTTATTAACAGAGGGGGGGGGGACACTTTGCTCCCCCCTCCTGTACAGATAAGCTGCCCCCTGCTGAAAACAACAGCATAGACCAGTATAATCTCCATGCTGGTCTACGCTGGATTGTGCTGGTTGGGTGCAAGGTGACATTTTGTCATGGTGCCCAGAATTTCTAGGGATGCCCCTGGATACCTGGATATCAGTGATCTAATCACAAATGGGGTTTGCAAACTAGTTTTTTTTTTATTAAGGTTAGGCATTAAGGTTAGGCATTCTGTGTTTGTAGTTTGAAAGGTCTGTTTTGTGTTGGAATATACTGGGAAACGCATGCTAGCTGGTGATATTGTGATGTAGTTTCTGCCAGCATCAAGGGGACCCTTCAACTTAAGTGGGTCTCCTTTGAGGTGTTCTGCGGAGGTCCTTGGGCTGCTCCTGCTGGCTGCAGAAAATTACTAGGAGATACTGTCGCCGTGGTTTTGGGGAGGAAAAATTCTGATTGTTCCGAACTGAGTTAGTTTCAGTGGCCAATTTCAATACCACTTTATTAAGCTGTAATTAGTCAGGATCAACTTTCTTTTGGTTAATTTTGCTCTACGGGAACATAAAACCTATGTGGCAAATACCATAGGCTGGATGCTGAAGGAGAGGAAGGAAACGTCTTCAACAAAATGTGAAAATGTGCAGGCCTCCTTGGAATAGTTGCAGCTGTACATTTAATGGATGAACCGTTCAATTTTTCAGTTTAATCTTTCTATATGGCCACAAACCTGAACAATGTTTCCTAGACCAGTTCCTAGACCAGTTTACACTAGAAAATATAACAGCAAATAAAGGTATGAAGTCTAGATGTTAGTAAAAAGGAAGGCAAAGCGACCAGTAAATTTCCACGGTAATGCGCGCATGCTACATGAGCGCTTAGCATTTAGTCTTTTTTGTTGAATGCAGTGGTCATATTGCTCAAATTGCGGACATTATTAGCTTAATACCCTGAACTTCTCTTGGACTGGGATTTTAAAAAGCACGTGTGAAGTTTCCCCGTGCGACGATTCTGGGGCTTGACGGCGGTATGCATTATTCATACAGTTAAAGTAACTCAGCTACTGTACATTTCAGAGAAAACCAAAGAGATATTTACCGTAACCTGCTGGGAAACTGATTTACTTGGAACCCTTCGATCCAGCATCGTCATTCATGATTTTTATATCAGTTGAATCATGTTTAAATCCCATACCTTAATTCTTTGCCTCCATCTTGCACTGAATGTGGAATCGATTGGAATATTGCGGAATACTGTGAATAATTTACTGAATTTTTTTACTTTGTTGGCAACAAAGTAATCAATTTTTTGCAGTTTTAGGAGAATGTGTGTGCACACTTTATGTAGTTTTGCACACAAAAAGTGTTGGGATGAATCAGTGGCAGAATATCCATTCTTATAAATCTGGCCCAGAATTTTGGGTGTTTTTTTTTTCCCCAGTGTTTAAATGTGCAATACACATCCCGCTTCACGTGTTGAAAACTTGACGTTTGTTTGAAAGCTGTAGGCACGAGCATAGCCTGTAGATGTCACGAGCTCGCAGACCTTTGCTTTCATCAGGTTCTGAAGGGAAACGATGGTGTGTGATCAAACCCGGCAAGAAAGCTCGGCGTTTTGATTCTACCGAAAACCGCCGATGCTCTGTTCCACACCGATGTCACGTGACACGTGTCGGATCAGTTAGAAACATAAATGACGTCACTGCCGAGTCGCTAAAGGTTCTTCCCATATATGGTCAGACGACGGTGAATGAAATGCACCCCTCCCCCCCCCCACTGGTGCGGCAATCACTTTGAAAGTCTGCTAGGTATGAGAGTCGTGCTGCATGCCGAATGTCGTCGCGGATTCGATGCCAGCTGAAGCCGCGGGTCTCTCAGCAGAGAGACGCGTGGGATGGCTCTTTGTGGAACAGCTCCGTGAACCGTCCAGTTGGCTGATGCATTTCATATGTCACCATGTTCAAGGAGCCCTTGTTTGTTACTAACTGTTGCATTTCTGCATTAACTGATGCATTTCTTACTGCGACTTATAATCAGCCTGTTATTAACATACTGTATACCACTACATATAACAGTCTAGCTGCCTTTGATGGATTCAAGGAACCGTTTTGACTCTTTCTCCCCATACAAATTTGGTTGCTCAGTGTTTATATTCGTTCTTGCTTGCTTGTAAAAACACAAAACATCAAGCAGAACTGCATGCCATCGACAGGCAAGGTCATTTGACATTTGTTTATCTTGCAATGTTTTATACAGTGGAGTCTTTTATCCGAAGCGATGAACAGTTGAGAATGCAGGGTCAGGCGGCCCCTAGAGCCACTGGGGTTCAGGGCCTCGCTCAGGGACCCAAACTCCACCCCATAATACTTAGCTTTTACATTAGTTTATACAGTAGCCTTATTACACACTTTATGCCACTTTGTAGCTATACTGTATTGCTACAGATTTGGTTATTTCGCTAGGCTGTGAGGTCACCTTACCAATGTATTACACCAATCAGACGGCAGTAGCAATCAGAGCTTTGGCAGTGGGTGGCCCCAGAGTCGGCAGCTCTGATATTTGAAAGCCGTCCTGCAGACCCTTGTTATTGCATCCTGGGAACAGCGGGGGGCAGCACTCACACAGTGTGTAATGTCAGTCTCAGAGTGATTACAGCAGCCATGCCACCGTCATGGAGGGGTCAAACCACACAGGCTCCGTTCGATAGCAATCGACATGCAAGTGGCTGTATTGGCATATTTTCAGTCTGTCACATTCCTGATTTCCCGAGCCAGAATGTTAGCATCAGTGGTGAAGATAACAGTCCGTTTTAGCATCCTTTGATTAAACACCTTCTGACCCAGTTACCCTTTTACACCATTTTCTGGTCAGTCCAGACAAACACATACCTTCCTCTGTGCGAGGAAAGAGGCCGCAGGGATTCTGGAGACAGCGCTAGTTTTTAAACGCGGGATTTAAGCACATCATCACGAAATAGCCCAGACAGACGTCAGGTGTCAAAGGAAAGTTGGCTCTGAGAAACCCGGCCAAACGTTTCCTCCACGAACAAAACGTTCTTCAGTGAGATTAAGAAAAGGGTATTTTAATTAAATACCTATAGACACAATCCAGACATAAAGTGCAACTGGAAATTACTGTCCTCTCTCCAGCCTTCGATATTTAACTAATCACTTTTGCAACTTAGTACTGGTAATTATAACCTAGATACGTACAATGGAAAGCATAATAGTTAACAATTAGTCAAGTGCATTATATGTAATGACTAATATCACACAGCTAAAATTGGAACAAGACTTAGACCGAATGTAAGATTGGACATGACTCACCCGTAACACTTTGCAGTGGCTTCTCTCTGGTTCTGTTGCTCAAACATCAAAGAAACTCATGGAGCGTCCCCATATGTTGGGTGTCTTCTCAATCCCGCCAGCAGAGGGCAGCCTCGCCTCAATGGAACAGCCTCGCGGTCCTGTCTCTGACATCGCGTGTCACCTGATGGCCCCAATGGGTGGTCTGTCACTCTTCCAGGGGTTCGCGCTCACCCCGACTCATAAAACGTGTCATTTACAGAGGCAAGGAGTACGGATGGGAAGTGGTGAAATGTTATTTATGCAGACGTGTATCATAGAAGCCTGCGACCTACATATTGAACAGAGACCAAAATGCTAGCTGACATCAAGTTTCAACAGATGTCAACATTTTGATCAAAACAAAGAGAATGACTCAACCTTTTAAAAATAGCACATGTTTTGAGTATAATGCCAGTGTATGTTAATAACAAGGTGAATATTAACAAGTCATTCTAAGAAATCCCTAGCTAATCATGGCAAAGAGCAATTTCCAATATATCTTTCACAAAGAAATAATATTTTCCTTTTCTCTCCACTTTGGTTAGTTTTGCAGTAAAAGTATAAAGCTAGACAGTACATTAAGAGTCATTTTGAGGTGTAAAAAAATTTATGTTAATCTCCTGTTCACAGAGATCTTCACAATGAATAACAAGATAAATAATATATGTTCATATGATATAGCTGTTTGTCTGCTAATGCTGCTTCTGTCGGTCTGTGCTTACAATCTGGGGTTTATGTAGGGAATCTTCAAAGTAAAACTCCCAGCATTCTTTGTAAAAAAAAAATGTAAAAAGCATTGTTTTGTGTGACACCAAAGCATAGGATGCAAACTACAATAAGAATCAAGAAGCTGTGATGTCGTGTGTCATCAAGCCTTACATTAACCAGTTAAGGTCCTGAACAGTTGTATCAACTACAGAATTAATCTTCAACATATAACTCTACATTTCCCTTTCCCGTTATTTTTACAGAGTATGTCTGGATGCTACAATGAATCTGAACCGCAGCACCACAGAGACCAGTATATTCTCATCTAGCAGTTCCTCTACGATGGGGCTTTACCAAGAGACTATCGTCCCAAAGGGAGACCCATGGCTGACGCATCAAAACGTGGATGAAAATTACTCTTTCTACAGAGAGAAAGACAACCTGACAGGCTTGTACAATGCAACTGTCACGCCCACCGTCGCATACGACCCTCTGGGGGGTCACACTCTTTGGCAGGTCATCCTAATTGTCCTCTTCACTGGGCTCTTGTCTTTAGTGACCATCATTGGCAACATCCTTGTGCTGCTGTCATTTAAGGTCAACAAGCAACTGAAGACAGTAAATAATTACTATCTCCTCAGCCTTGCGTTTGCCGATCTCATCATCGGCGTCATTTCGATGAACCTCTACACCACTTATCTCATCATGGATCAGTGGGCGTTAGGCAATTGGGCATGCGACTTGTGGCTCGCAATTGACTACGTAGCCAGCAACGCCTCAGTCATGAACTTGCTGGTGATCAGCTTTGACAGGTACTTCTCTGTAACGCGACCGCTTACGTATCGCGCCAAAAGAACGACCAAGAGGGCCGTGGCGATGATCGTCCTGGCCTGGTCCATCTCGTTCATGCTCTGGGCACCTGCCATCTTGTTCTGGCAGTACTTTGTCGGAGAGCGGACTGTCCCCACTGGCAAGTGCTACATCCAGTTCCTCTCCGAGCCCATCATCACCTTCTGCACAGCCATGGCGGCCTTCTACTTGCCGGTCACTATCATGACTGTGCTCTACTGGCGGATCTACAAGGAGACAGAGAATCGCTCCAAGGAGCTGGCGGGCCTGCGGGGCTCGGGCAACCAGGGTGAAAAGGCGAGCGTAGCCCATCAGACGGGGAGCTCCAGAAGCTGCAGCAGCTATGAGCTGAGCCGGCCGACCAAGAAGGGCTCGGTCAAGAGGATTATGGGACGCTTCCGCCTCTGGCCTGCACCAAAGCCCGGGAGTGAGGGGGAGCAGGATCAAAGCAGCAGTGACAGCTGGAACAACAACGATGCGGCAATGTCCATGGACCAATCCGACTCGGATGAGGAGGAGATTCCCGAGAGCCGTGCCATCTACTCCATCGTTCTCAATCTGCCTGGCATGAAGGCAGCCATGACCTCACAGCTCATGTCACCAGAAGAGCTCCAGGTGTCTGACAAAGTCCCTCCCAAAGGAAAGGCAGGGAGCCAGCAGGGTTCCCCGACCAAGGATGGGGGCAACCAGGAAGACAACGGCTACCACCAGCGCTTCTCAAAACCACAGGGACAGTCCGTGTCCTCAGCAGAAACAGCTAAAGCAGAGCCCACGTCCCTTGCCGCCAAGTCCCCGGCGGTACCCCTCTCCTTCAAGGATGCTGCCCTGGCCAAGCGGTTCGCCTCCAAAGCAAGGATGCAGATCTCCAAGCGTAAGAAGATGTCCCTCGTCAAGGAGAAGAAGGCAGCGCAGACCTTGAGCGCCATCTTGTTTGCTTTCATTATCACATGGACGCCCTATAACATCATGGTGCTGGTGAACACCTTCTGCAACGACTGCATCCCCGAGGCACTGTGGGCGTTGGGCTACTGGCTCTGCTACGTCAACAGCACAGTCAACCCCATGTGCTACGCACTGTGCAATAAGACCTTCCGGACCACGTTCAGGATGATCCTGCTCTGCCGGTGGGACAACAGAAGGCAGAACAAGCAGCAGTTCCAGCAGTGGCAGTCCGTCGCCTTGCGGAACAAGTTGCCGGGGAATGCCTAATGACGGTACCCCGACAGTGTACCGGCAAGTAGGACTCTGTGAGACTTCCCTACATCCGTTGTCGGGACACCACAGGAAGGAAAAAAAAAACCCTTCGCTGCGGTTGCTGAATTCCTGTTTCTGTAGGAGATCACGCTGGAGGGGATCAATATGGAGCTTATATATTTTTACAGCAAAAGGGCTTTGAGTTACAACGATATGGGATTGTCATTATTTCACAGTAAAACGGTAACTTTCATTTGCCCCAGTATTGATGTACTGTGGTCTCCTTACGCACAGCGTGTCAAATGAACAGAAATGTAACTATTTAAAAAAAAAAAAAACAGTATTATTAAGTATTGTTGACAGGATCCAGTTTTTGGAAACTACCTTTTATTGTCTCCCAGTATTACCCACATGACCTGAGTGTGTGGGTACGACGCCTGAAGCCTGCAGCTTTATGTTTTGCCAGTATCATTGTCGATCCGTTTTTGTATTTGGATTTTCTGTGAAGCGCTCATCTTGCAGATGCAGTGATTGTGGTGGTCTCTCTTGTGACTTCCAGTAAGACAACGTTGTGAACGCAGAGTTGATGTAAAAGCTGCTTAATTATTCTGTATGAGATGTTATTTGCATTCTAGGCAAGTTGAAATACTTTGATTGGTGTTTATGTAAATACAGTTTTATGTTTCTACTGTATCAATGATAGTGGTACATTATTTCAGTATGACTTGACGGACTTATACTGATTATTATCGAATAATTTGGCAAAATTACAGAACAAAACATTTTTATTGCTTTTTAAAAATTCTAACAAGATATGACTGTTGTACACTATGTATCTGTCACCAAAGCCTTCTAGATATCCTCCTCATAATCATTTTTTATATTGCCATATTACATTGTCAGACCTGAGGCCGAAATAATAATCAGGACAACAGTGACCCCTGGTGGAGAAATGTTTGTCTAACAGTTTGTCTAAATGCTTTCTCGTCAGTGCTACCTACCAGTATGTGAAGACCGGACGTCACCAGCATACACACAGAACCAGGATGAGCAGGCACTTGTAATGCTTGTTGCCATGTTTCTACCATATCAAAATATATGAAATCCTCTGGTTTTTGGACAAGTTTAGGTCAATCCCAATAAAGGAAATCCCAATAAAATTTGTTAACTATTACGTAATGTAATGCAAGACTTCCATCTTGTTTCTGCTTAACAGTATTGTAACAGTAACTACTACAATACTACTACAGTAACTACTTAACAGTAGTTCCCATATAACACTAAAATACTTTAAACCATCTACCACATCTTTGCATACAGGCTATAATTATACATATAGATCTATTTCATTCCAAAGCTGCCATTAACTCAGATTATGTGCTTGATTGCACTCATTTTCACAAAATCCAGTTTAAGCTCTAATAGTCTGATTGGTATCATTTACATTGGTTTCCAGAAAGAGGAAATGAGTGCAGACAAGCCAGATCCCCAGGAATTCTGCCGTTTTGTGCATTTCATATAATATACCAGCCCTGTGCAAAGCAGTAATACTCTGAGTGTGAATAGCAGGATTCTCCCAGAGTCAGTACAGTCAGTATGCAGCAGTATGTGGGTAGCATTTAAGGACCTGGTTCACATCTCAGGAGCAACTCAGTCCTGCTTCTGTATCCTTTACAGAGGCACTCAACCTAAATGTAATGCTTCAGTAGAATACCAAGCAAAATTATCTGTTCATCGAACACAAGAAGAATAAAACACAACAGGATGTGGAGAGCAAATTAAAAGGCAAATGTGATTGTGTACAGAACTAACGCTCTGTTTTGTGAGGCAGGAATCCCTCATCTGCTGTGTGGTGTTTACTTGCACCTCTGTTTTGGTATAAACATACAGTACCAGTCGAACGTCTGGACACACCTACTGAGAATCATTTGTCTTTCAACAAGATAATGACCCGAAATCCACCTGGAGGTTATGTGGTATGTATTATCTCATGAACAATGAGTTGGAGTGCTGTGACTGATGACCAGGCTCCAAGAAGTCCCAGACCTAAACCCTATAGAGCTGGTTTGGGGTGAGTCGCTCGAAGAGTAAGAGCAGGTGGAAACTCCTTCCGGACTGTTGGAGAAACATTCCAGGTGGCTACATTTGGATGCTGGTTCAAAGAATGCCAAGGTTCTGCAACGCTGTCATCGAAGTAACAGGGAGCTATTTTGAAGTGTGTAAAATTTGAGAAAATTTTGAAATGTTGAGCAGTTCTTTTGGTCATGCCGATTTGTGTTACTCAATTGCCATACTGCCTCTTACCATAAGGTGAATAGCAGGCAACATAGGAAGAGGTGCATTAAAAGCAGGTGTCCAGACTTTTGACTGGCACTGTAAGCGGAATGTTACATGGCCTTTTTGCACAGCGTGTCACTTCGAATTTAACTGCAACCTTTTTCTTTCCTGAGAGAAATAAAATACAAGGTGTCTAATTCTGGAGGTTGATCGTCTTCGTGTGAAATGTATCGGAAGTAAACAGTTTCATGTAAATTAATAGAGAGCCAGACACAAGTTAATTACATGCAAAATAGGGATGGTGAGCCAAGATGATCTCCTTTAAGAGCCATTTACATTTTTAATTGTTCTCAATGGAGACAGAACTGGGATTACCAGAATAAACACCTAGCGAACATGGTTTAACATTCAACAATAGCTGGATTGACGCTCCAACAATAATAAACATGAGCTCGATTTTTTTTGTGCATTCTTAGACAATCGAGGGTTGCAGCAGTACAACATCTTAGCAAGCATGAGGCGTACTGTGGGGTGCACACACTCACACCTGCACGCAAACACACTAAAAGGCAGTGCAGAGGTGTCATTTCTTCCTGGGGGGGGCAGCAGAGGTGAAAAACGTGCAAACGTGAGGACGCAAGCTCCCCCACATAGATAGCTGAGGCTGGATTCAGACTCACGATCCCAGAGGTGTGAGGCAACCTGAGGATTTACACTGCATGCTAAATGTATTTCCATGTATCCCGATATTATGCGTAATAAGCCTTATTTAATTTTCTAAAAAAAAAGGGCATCTTTTAAATTCAGTGATGGTGTAAAAATGATTTTTTAGATCTTCTGACAGAAACCTCCATCACTGAGTTAGGTTCATCTATATCTAACCCTTCCAAAGCTCATGTTATTTACTACCACAGGAAATGTAGAAATAATTGTTTTCAATATTGACAGGTCTTTCAGTCCTCAATAAAACTGACCTTTTAAAGGACAAATGTGTTTCATATCTAAATTCTGTGTCTTATAGAGCAGAAAGAAAGATCAATGTCCAGAAGGTTCAAATTCCCAATTTCATTGATTTATTTAAACCACTTTCATGTTAAGGACTTGTGTTTTAAGTCTATTTATTGTATTTTGTTTTGTTGTTGTTCTACAACTTACACAAAGTTTGATTAGACAGAATATGTGTGTGTGTGGCTGTTTGTGTGGTTTGTGTGTGTGTGTGTGTGGCTGTTTGTGTGTGTGTGTGGCTGTTTGTGTGGTGTGTGTGTGGCTGTTTTGTGGTTTGTGTGTGTGTGTGTGTGGCTGTTTGTGTGTGTGTGTGGCTGTTTGTGTGGTGTGTGTGTGGCTGTTTTGTGGTTTGTGTGTGTGTGTGTGTG